CTGCCTTCTTTCTTTTCTTTTCTTTTTTCTTTTTCTTTCTCAGACAGAGTCTCAAGCTGTTGCCCTCGGTAGAGTGCTGTGGCATCATAGCTCACAGCAACCTCCAACTCTTGGGCTTAAGTGATTCTTTTGCCTCAGCCTCCCAAGCAGCTGGGATTCCAGGCACCCGCCACAATGCCCAGCTATTTTTTGGTTGTAGTTGTCGTTGTTTGGCAGGCCTGGGCTGGATTTGAACCTGCCAGCTCTGGTGTAAGTGCCTGGTACCCCAGCCTCTGAGTTACAGGCGCCGAGACCAAAACTGCTATTTTCCAAGCCTCGCACACATGAAGGTAAATGAACGAAGCCAGTCACACCGGACCATTTAGCATACAGTTCCATTTATGTGAAGTGTCCAGAATAGGCAAAAGTTCAGAGGTAGAAGGCACATTAGGGGCTGCCTAGGGCTACAGGAGGGGCGGGGAGTTGGAGGGTGATGGCTGAGGGGGTATGGGGTTTTTTTTTGGAGGGGGAATGAAAATGTAAAATTGGTTGTGGCAACAGATGCCTAGCTCTGAATATGCTGAAAGCCGTTGCACATTTGAGACGAGGGAATTGTGCGGTATGTGAATTTTATCTCAGTAAAGCTATTATTTTAAATTGCTCTCTTCCTGGCTTCTTTCACCCTTCTTACCACAAATCCTGGGGACTCTGTGGGGCGAAGGGTCCGGGCCAGAACCTGTCCACAGCAGACAGAGCCTCCAGGGGGAGTACAGCCTCAGCCACACCCTCCCTCCTTCCTCTCCACTGGAAAGAACGAGCAGGAGTTAGCCACCCACCTCTGCCCTGCTTTGTGGCTGGGCCAGGACTCTGCTTTCTAGGACACACACATCATGATGAGGTCTCAGTGCCTTCCCTTTGCTGACCTACCCACCCTTTCCACCCTGAGACCAGCCAGCTCAGATAGCCCCACAAGGCCCAGGTCAGTCAGGTGGCTCTTTCAGGGGCAGGCCATCCTGGGGCAGAGGCAGGGGCTGAGCTGGGTGTAGACCTTGGATCCTGCACTGACCTTGGGGTTACCCCTTTCCCTGTTCATGAGAAAGTATCCTATTACCCTATCAGCCATGGGCAGGGGAGAGGCTTCTCTCAGGGAGCCATGTCCTAGGACTGGGAGGCAAGAAGGTGTGGAGTTCACCTGCACTTCCACTCAACAAATGTTTATCAATAATCAGCTAAGGGACTATTGTGTTCTATGAATCACTGGTCACCAGTGGTGCCCCAGCTTCTTCCTTTAAAGAGTTCTGGGTCCCGTTGGGGAGTAAGTGCACTCAGCTCAGTGTCTGGTCAAGCAATTGAGATTAAAAGGACATTGACTAGCCCCAGAGTGTAGGAGGAGGTTGGGGAAGGCTTCCTGGTGCAAGAGCACATTCAAGACGAGTGGGACTCCAAAGGAAGAGGGAAGTGGGGGCAGTCCTGGGCAGCATGCTCCAGGCGGAGGGGATATGATGTAGGTCATTCAGAGAATTGCGAAGGAAACTTCAAGTAGTTCAGTCTGGTTGGGGACTAACAGGTGAGACAGAGAAGGCCAAGAAACGAGGTGGGAGAGGAACAGAGGGGCAGGCTGCCTGAAGCCTGAAGAGGAGGAAGTCTCCCTCACCCCGCCCTGTCCCCAGTGAATCCACCTTCTCCCCCTGCCTCCTGCACCTGCAGGGCTCCTACCTGAGCAGCGGCCCCAGTGCCAGGCAGAGAAGAGACCAGCCAGGGTCAGGAGCAGTGAGACCGGTACGGCCACCAGCAGCATGTCTTTGTAGGAGGCCTTCCCTGGTGTTGGACATAAAGGGCTGGGGTCAGACGTGCATGTGATGCTTCCTCATCCCTCAGCCATTGCCCACTGGCCCTTGGCGTACCTGCCTCACGATGGCAGCTCTCCCAGGGGATGACTGTGGCCATGTTCCAGCTGACAGGGTTGGAGACAATACAGGAATAGGCCACATCCTTGTCTCCTGGTCCCAGCGAAGCGCTCAGCATCTGTCCATCCGTGAAGAGGCTGTGTGTTTCCACACCTAAGTCCATCATCCCCTCCTGTCGCCAACTATAGGTTACGTCACTGGCGTTGGGGGCCCAGCAGGACAAGAAGACTTGGCATGCCTTAAGGGGCTGAGTGTCCCCTTCCACAGAGATGAACACACGTACCACGGGCCTGGGCACTGCATCTGGGCAAGAACAGAAGAGCAGGTGTGTGTCACGGGGATGCTGGGGGATCGATGCCACTCTGACTAGGCCCCTCTTGTTCCAAAACTTTCTCTGGCTTTCCATCTCCCAGCGGACAGAATTGAATGCCTTAGCATGATATCCAACACCCTCGTGAAATGATCATGTCCACCTCACCTGCTGTGCCTCCAGCTAGTCCTCCCTGCTCATCCCAATCAACCTGCAGTTGTCCCGACATGTCATGCCACTGTGTGTCTTTCCTGCTTTCCCAGAGCTCATCTGTGTACATATGTGTCTTCCCTTCCTTGTCCTTCTAGAAACTACCGCCCATCCTTCAAGGCCAGTGTGGACCCTTCGCTTAACACCCTGGCTATGAAGCCTTTCCTGGTAGACCAGGTGTGCTCTGAGCCCCCAAGGGTTTCACCTGTCCCTTTTTGTAGAACTTGACATGTCAGTCCACGAGAGATGGCAAGTCAGGCAAGAAAAGTATATTCCTGGCCTTTTGGAGCTTAGGATTTGGTGAGGAAGGCAAAAATTGCCAAGTGATTATGAATAATAAAGAAAATTATTACAAGGATGCAAAATGCTGTAAGGCAGGGGCCCAGAGGTGGGGTTCTGTCTTGAGATCTCCCTAACCTTTGCTTTCTCCTGCTGGCAAGTGGGTGATTGGGGCCTGGGTCACGGACACATTGGTGTCTTGGTTTTGTAGGCCATGGCTCCCCTTTCCTCTCTAAGTTGTTGTGTAAATACTAAGTCTCAGCAACGGGGCCAGCGGGAGAGCATTCTGGTGACAATGGGAGGGCTCAGTCTCTGACAGCATTCCAAAGTCAAGCAGAGAAAACCTCGTTAATGCCAGCTCAATCTGGTGGGATTTGTGATATGAAAGAGGAAATGATTTGCCGGGCACACTAATAGTATAAACAAAGATTACAGGGGGGATATTTATACCACTTAAGAGGACAAGCTGCTTCCAAACACGATCAGGCACAGTTGAAACACCCATTGACATTTCCAGTAACTGATCTGCTAATTCAAATCATTCTTATCTATTGTCAAAGCCGAGCGCCTAAGGACGGCTGCTTGGCAGATTCGTGCAATTAGTTGTAATCACGCTATGTATTTGGAAGTAATAAAACAGCAATTTCCTTAAAATCTGTAATTCAGATGCTGAGAACAAGGCATTTTGGAACTTAGTGGTGTGGGTGCCGCATGTATTATCACGTTCAATGTCATCATTTCACATGTGAGGCAGCTAAGCCTTGTAATGGGGGAGAGGCCCTATGTGGTCCTGCAGGTTACTCACTGCACAGGGTATTGGGCTAAGGGGGCTGAGGGTGAGGGGGGGCAGGGGGGCAGAAATCCAACCAGCACTCTGTGCCAACACAAGCCACCTGGTTCGGGGCTGCATGGATCCAGGAGTGCACCTTCTAATTGCATTGATACCCTGGTGGCTCTCAAGGACAGCCAGTTAGCTGTCTCGGGGATTTGAGACACTGCCTCAATTTGTTTACAGCCTTTCTCTTCCCAGCTGCTGCCCTACTTCCCGTTTTTATATTTGGATACTTTCCCCCACCGCTCTATCCAATTCCTAAGGTTTTACGGAAATAGTGATTTGGGGGTCATTCACACCTCATAGCTAACTGACAGCTAAAAGGCCACTTCTTTCTCCACCAGCAGAAATGCGATGAAGGTGGTGGAGATGGAAGTGGTTGGAGCAAATGCCCATCCAGCCCCCAGGCTATTCAGCCACCCCAGCTGTGGTGTCCTGAGCAGCTCAGGAATGGCCCTGCAGAACGGCCTCCAGCTGGGCCCTGCCAACCCTCAAAGTCATGAGGAATAGAAGTTGTTGTTTTCAGTTTAGAAGTTTGGGATGGTTTGTCTTGCTATGGATGAATGGTGGAGAGAGCCCATGAATGACACATCGTCAGAATCTCTCTAAAAGAGTAAGACATAGAAAAATATGATATTTTAAGTTATAGTTTAATTATGATTTGATTTTTAAATAAAAACCCACTATGTCCTAGTTTAATGTGCTACTTTCCCCCCTTCTTAGCAGCGCAAACACTGATGCCTTTTTTTATGGTCTATGATGATACCTAACACCCATGAAGCCCAGGCTGGCTCAGCCATGGATGTATCTGCCAACTCCACTGTCCCCTTATGGTACTCTGCATGGTAATGCCTCAATGGCCACTTTACAAATGAGAAAGGTGATGATCAGGGAGGCTCAGCATTGTGTCCAAGACCACCAAGCCCAGAAAAGACTGAGTGGGAGTTGAGAATGGGGCTGCGAAGGGGCAAAGCCTGGCTGTGCCACATACAGCTCACCTGGGAGTCCCTGAGGTGGCTTAGTTGTGCCTGCCAGGGTTAGCAATGTAGTGGAGACCAGAGGTTCCCGAAACCCTGCCCCCGCCCCCAGCTCCTGTGGAGGCTCAGGATGTCTGTCTGCTCCCTGTGGGAGGGGGTTCCGGCTGTCAGTGTCAGGTGCACTCACCGTACACCTTGAGCTGTAGGATCTGGGTCTGGGTCCAGCCCCGGGTGTCCACCATCAGCACGGAGAAGTTGCCGCTGTCTCCAGACTGCAGCGGCCCAAGCTCCAGACTGAGGTTGCCATGCAGATGGGCACGGCCCAGGAAGCGGGAGTGGTACAGGGTCTCCAGGGAACCCTGGAAAAACATGGCCAGGAGCTCCTCCGAAGGCCAGAGAGATCGCCAGATGGCCTCGCGGACTTGGAAGCCAGGAGGCTGCTCTGCCACTAGCAGCGCGGAGTCCCCCACCTTGCTCAGCACTTGGGCACCAGCAACTGCAATGGAGATAGTGCTGAAAGGACAGAGCCCTGTCACTTGCCTGCCCGGCTCCTTGCCCTACTCCTCATCCCCCTCCTGTGCAGCTGAGCTTCTATGGGGTGAACCAGGGGCCCCTCCACCCTTACTCCTCCCCTTCCACCCATGCAAGTGGAGGGTGCCAGGTACTGGGGACAAAATGGTAGAGAGAACTAGTCCCCGTGGTCACAGAGCCCAGAGGAAGACATGCAAGAAAGTAACTGTGAAGTACTATGAGGGTGACGGGGACCTTACCCCCACGGAGGGGCTCAGAGGAGAGGCAGGAAAGCTGAGACCTTGAAGAGGGGGTGGGAGCCAGTCAGCCCATGCTGCTGGAAGGGGATGGGGAAGTGTCACAGGCAGAAGGAACAACCTTACATGGGCCCGGAGAGACAGAGCACAATCACTGGGGAACTGGGAGGAGCTCTCTGCGGGGGTGTTGGAGATTACACCGCAGAGTTGGTGGGAGCCGGAACATGCAGGGGCCTGCAAGCAGTTTTGGAGTTTGGGCTTTATCTGTAGAGCATGGGGGGAGAGGGGAGGGTCTCAGACATGTTTTAAGCAGGAAGGTGACATGATTAGATGCACGGTGCAGAGGGTCACTCCAGGTGCAGAGGGTCACTCCGGCAGAGACATGGAGAATGCCCTGCAGGGGGCAAGGCTGAGGCTGCTTGTGTTAGTCAGAGGGAGAAGTGAGGAAAGTCGAACTGAGGAAAGGGGCAGCTGGGGTGGGAGGCACGGGGGCATTGAGAGTCAGACAGTGCAATTAGTAGGATTTGGAAGCAGACCAGCTCTGGGGAAAGAAGGAGTCGAGGATGGCTCCTAGGCCCCCAGGACTGACTGGATGCCATCCTCTGAGGTTGGAGCAGGAGGACACACGGGCAGGGGCTGAGATGGCCAGATGTTGAGCTTTTGGGGACGGTGTTTGAGTTAGGGGTGTGCGGAGACACCTGTGCTGGAAGTGCTTTTCCGACTTCCCCGCTGCCTGGTTACTGCTCCTTCCTGAAGCATTATCTCCTCCCTTGCCCCCCCCCCCATCTCTCACTGCAAGTCACACATGCTGGTGTTCCCACAGCGCCCGGAGCACCGCTGTAACCACCCTTATCCCTGTGTTATCATTGCCTGTTTGTGAATCAGCGTCTCCTGTGACACTGCGAGCGCCTCCAAGTCAACCTCACTTTCCCTTCTCCCTTGCTCTCCCAGTGCTCACTGGCACTCAGGACCAGGCTGCAGGGGAAACTCAGTAAACTGCATGAATGAGGAGATTGAGTCTGCCAGGGGCTGACCTTGTGACAGACAGGGTGTCGAGCAGGACCAGAGTCCCTGACACCCAGGTGCTGCCATTCTGCTGGAGGAGTCATGCTCTGGGTAGTCACTCAGTTGGCTGAAATATGCCTAGCCCCTCTACCCCTGCCAGCTCCATCCTGCTGGGAAATGGCGCCAGTGTTGACGTGGGATGGAGGTGTAGCTCATAGAGAGAACTGCACTGAATGTCCACCAAGATGAGCTTCTAGCCTGTCCTGGCTCTGCCACAAATGAGGGGTGGGAACGTGGCTGCCTCACCCTCCCTTCCTAGGCTTCAGTGGCCTCCCCTGTACAACATGGGGGCCATCCCAGGCCAGTGGTGCTGATCTCTTCTACACCTAAGAGACCTTTTAGAACTTATTTTTGTCTTACAGCACCCAGTGATTTGAAAGATCTTGCAAGCCAAACAGATTGAGGCCTTTCTTGAGAGTTAAGATGTGATTTCGGGCACATGTCTAGAAACACTGAAGGAATCGACAGGGCTTTTGGAACATGTAGGGCTAAGAGCTGGGACAGGGACACAGGATAAAGCATCCCCAAGGTCCTACCAGTCTCTGATGTAAACAATGGCCTCTTAGTCTTTGCCACACCCACCAACCCCATCCCTGGCTCTGCAGTGCTGTCCTATGTCACATCAAGGAAAACAACCCAGGCATCAGATTTGTGCAGGGATCACCCCATGGGGAAGAGACCCGAAGGCTGGCCAAGCTGTTCCAACATCACACCATCCTCAGCCACCCTAATGCTCCCACCTCCCACTCTTACCAGATACTACCTCCCCTGTGCAGGCTTGCAGGCAGGGGTCCCAGCTTCCCCACAGGTTGTTGAAAACACACTCTTCATGGCATAGGGAACCTTGCTCTGCCCTGCCCTCCACTTCCCTCCCCAACTGTATGCAGAATTCCACATGTCAACACTGCCTGATCCTGACTATTCTTATGTTCAACCTTCTCTCCAACCCAGAGGTATCAATGGCTCAGTTTAGCTGCCCTGGGTCACACAGCAGCTTCAGTCTCCTGGACAAGGAGGCCGCTCATGCTGCCCCCTCCCTGCCAGGACCCTGTATCCTTTGTCTCTCCTGAGCTGTGATTGTTGTCCCAGAACTTGTTCCAGTTTCTCTATCCCTCCTCAGCCTCTGGGTTCTCACTTGGGTTGAAGGGGCCCTGCCCAGACGTCTGGTGAGAGCAGCTGGGCAGGGGCCTTCAGCCCTCTGAGGATGGGCACCCACCTGTCCCACTTACCTTCCCAGAGAAGCAGACCCCACAGGGACCATGTGGCCATTCTCCACAGAGGCAGACAAACTCTCTTGACAACACAAATCCAGAATATCCTAGACGATGGAGATACGCGGAAGGAGCTGCTGTCCTTCTGGGAAGTCCCATGTTCAGAAGGAGGAATCTTGACTCAGAACAAGATGCCCCAAAAGTGAAAACATCCCGACTAAAGTGGAAGTTGGCCCTGGGCCTGGCTGGGCTTTCAGGAGCAGATTCTTGTAAGTCAGCTCCTTTCACATGCTCTTGCTTGACTAATGGGTGGTGACCAGCACCCCACGCAAAGTCCACATTCGCCTTCCTGCTTCCCACTCTGCCTTGCTGCTGTCCTCCTTATCGAAGCCACAGAGGGCCCTCTGAACTGCAGTTTCCATCCAGTCACTTCTTCATGGCCTCCTGCAGCCCTCAGGCTGAAGATTGAACACTTGGCTCAGCATATGGCTGTCCTGGTTGGGCTCCAGCCTGCCTGCCCAGGCTGGTGGCCCACATGCATTCTGCTCTCCAGCCATTCCAAGCCAGGCCACCCTCCTCTCAGAGCTGATATTGTACCCTTCAGGGGCTGTACTTGTCCCTCCAGGCATGCTGCTTCCTTTGTCCTTCCAGAGGCAGCCAGCCACGCGTGAGAGCCCCCTCCTCTGCTCCATGCACGCCCACACCCGAGAGCCCCCTCCTCTGCCCCGTCCATGCCCACACCTGAGAGCCCCTCCTCTGCCCTGTCCATGCCCCCACCTGAGAGCCCCCTTCTCTGCCCTGTCCATGCCCCCACCTGAGAGCCCCCTCCTCTGCCCTGTCCATGCCCACACGTGAGAGCCCCTCCTCTGCCCTGTCCATGCCCCCACCTGAGAGCCCCCTTCTCTGTCCTGTGCTTGCCCACACCCTTAGTGGGTGGTGTGCAGCAGTTTTCTGGTCTTCTCCAGACTGTTCAGCCACATGTTGTGGTCCATTTCCGTGTTGTCGGTGCTCACCGCATTGTAGGTGGTTAACAAATGTCTGTTAGATGATTGTCGCTTTCTGTAAGCCCTGCAACTCTTTCTGAGAGGATCTTCATGTCGCCCTGTTAAAGTTGAGGGAATGTGAAAATCTTGCTGAAGTTACAGAGGGGCAGAGTTGGGACTTGACCTTTAGAGCAGGGTCCACCTTCCATAGCCCCCTCTTTACCCTGTTTCTTTTCTCACTTCCAGTTACTTGGTTTCTCAGGTCAGGAAAGGCTTTGCAAGAAGTTATCACCTGTGAGGGAAGTTTCTGAATGTCCCAAGCCTGGTTGGGACAATGTGTCTGGTCCTACAGGGCCTCTGACCTGCTAGTCAAACCTAGCACCGTGCACTGGACCTGGTGAGGAACTGGGCATCTAAGATGGGGGGTGAACAAGAGGCCTGGGGGGGCAGTTCTTGTCCTCCAGGTACCCACAACCAAAAGGTAGAAAGAGATGTACCAGGGCAGGTGAAACCTCATGTGAGCAAGGCACTGCTCTGTGCAACCGTGTGGCCCAGGTGGTCAGCGCTGTAGGAAGGAGAGGGAGAGGTCTCTGTGGATCTGGGTAGGGGGTACTTCCCTCGAAGGTAGAATTTGGGCTGTGCCTTGAAATGGGCAGGGTATGGATCGGATGGGAAAGGAGAGGGTTCTGGGATGAGAGGAGAGCAGGGTGTGCTCAGATGTGGCTGGGGGAAAGTAGCAGACAGGCTCTGGGGCCAGCTAGGGACAGCAGGCAGGAATCCTCAGAGCTAAGCAGGAAGCAGGGGAAGGAGGTTGGGCGGCAGGCTATGGAGGCCTTAAGGACAGGGTTAGGTTGTTTTGGAGATTCTAAACCTGTGGCTCCAAGCCTCACTGGGTACTTGGACTCTCAAGGATGGTGGCTCAGTGTGTGGGGGGTGGCTGGGACCCAGGATCCTGTCATTGAAACAAAGAGAGCCACTCAGGTGAATCTGTGGCAGGTGGATAAGGGGAAGCGGTGCTTGAAGGTGGGGGTACATTGTCTGTTTTAAGTGGGGTGAGTGGGGGTGACTTGCTGGTGGAAGGACAGCAGGCAGGGCAGGGAGAGAGGGAAGGCAGGTAGCCGCTGTGGTGATGGTTCTGGGAAAAGGAAAAGGGCGTAGACAGGGAGGAGATGTCCAGAGTGCAGAGAAATGGTGGAACCTGCAGGCTGCCTGGCCATGGGCAGAGAGGTCAAGGGAGTCGAGTCATTTTGGGGCCCTTGTCAGTTCTGTCAGTCATTCATTAATCAGGCATTTGGTGAGCATCATCTAGGTGCTGTGGACACAGACATGAAAGGCTTGGCCCCTGACCTTAAGGAGTTCATAGTTTAGATGTGGTGATGGCATATGAAAGCCAATAATTATGGTCTAAGTGGCGAGAGAAATGCCACACGTGTGTCCTTGGTACAAGGAGACCCAGCTGGGCAGGCAGGAGGCTGAGAGAGCTCCGTGGAGGGAGGGACTCGAGGGGGTGCCTTGAGGATGTAAACAGGTGAGGGTAGGCGTGAAGAACCTAAGCTCTAGAGTTGATCTCCTTGAGTTCAAATGGTGGCCGTGCAATCTTGACCAAAGTACCTTCTCTGTGTGTCAGTGTCCCCATCTGTGAAATGGAGATTAATAAGTGTCCACCTCTCAGCGTTGCCAAGGGGCAGTGTGAGGGTTTAAAATGGGCTGCAGTGCATAGTCAGCACCCAGCCATCTCCCACTGCTACTAAGTGGCTCGAGAGAGGAAAGGGGGCCCAGGCAAAGGCAGATAAAGGCACATTTGTAGCTGAGCAGCTTCCTATTCTGACCTTCTCCTCCCAGATGGCAGGACTCAGGTCCCCCTCATTTGTACACTCTGAAAGCACAAGGAAATGCTTTCTAGGAGGTGACATCCTCCACGCACCTGTTGAATTGGATCAAATAATTCTAAATTGTCAGGCCCAGGACTGGGAGGACTGTGGGAAGTAGGACTGTGTGTGGGCCTGACCCCAAATCCACAGAGAAGACAGTGGGCAGTCACGGTCCCTATTTATAGAATCGATTGCCCAGGTGGTCCATCCATGCAGGAAACGAACTATAGTTTGCTCTCTACCCTTCTACCCCCCTACCAGAGCACTTTCATTTGAGGGGAATTTGCAGGAACCTAAGGAAGTGGGGAGAAGGAGGTTGAGTGTGGACTGGGAAGTATCCCTCCTTCCCCAAGAGAAAAACTTCCAGGCCTGTGTGACCACTGGAGAAAGAGCCACTGAGGAAAGCAGTGATTCTTCCCAGATGCAGAGAAGTGTTAAATCTGCACAGGCAGGTCCTCACCGCTGCTAATCATTGGTTCACACCATATTAATTACCCAGCCACAGGAGGGAGCGCACAGGAGCAAATTAGCTGGTGAGTTCAAAGGGGCCACTCCCCACATTCCTTAATTAAGAGAGCAGCTGGCAGCCAGGGCTGCTACTCCACCTCCCTGGGGCCTTTCTGGGAAGTCTGGAGTCGGCAGCAACTGCTGAGGCAAGCACAGTAGCTCCATCTGCCATGTGAAGAGCCTGCACCCCGCCACTCGCCACTCGCCACTCGACCACCTTCACTCTCGGAGGAGGGGAGGGATTAGGTCTTGGCTGCAGCCTCGCAAGCTGCCTGAACTCCACCATTAACCTTTAGCGCTTGGTGCATAGAGATTCAGGGCTGTGTGGAATTTGATGATGGCCTGTCCCTGAGGGCAGATTAGGGCCACACTTCTCCCAGGTGGAGAGGAGGAGGGGGTGCCTGGGATTGGGAGAGATGGGGAGCTGCGCAGGAAGGAGGGGCATCAGTAGGCATTGGGGGCACCAAGGATAGTGGAGGAGGAAGGGGTTGTTACCGGGAGTGGTAGGCCTCTGTGGACTGCTACAAGGGGCCGGTGTGGGATGGGGGCTAATGGGGAGCAGGTAGAGCCCTGTGGTTGTGTCTGCCTTAGCTAGATACGTGAGAGGACAACAAGCCACCAGGCACTGGTAGCCCTGACAGCTGTGCACCCCTCCCCAGCTGGCCTGCTTAGTCAGCAGAGCTGTGGCGCAGCCGGAAGACTGAGCCTGACACAGAAGACCCTGGAAGGAGCCTGCCCTGCCACGTCCCAGGAGCTCCCACCTGCACCTCTGCAGGTGTTCAATGGAGGTGAAATGGCCTCACCTCCTGTGAGTTGATGTCCAGGCACTGCCCTGAGCCAGAGCGCCTTGTTCTGTTTTAGGTCTAAGATGCCTTTCCTGTCTCAGCCTTTTCCTGGCCTTGACAGAGGCAGGTCAAGGGGATGAAATATCTGATAAACTAGGGACAGGGGTCCCCAACTGGAGAGGGAGAAACTGAAGTCAAAGGAGAAGGAGACCAGTGAGTGGGCTGGAACAGACTGCAGAGACTGAGTGGGCGGGGTCTGCTTTTGAGGCAGATTGGAAGGCAGGCTGCACAAAGCAGAAACAAAGCCACTGTGATTTACCGAGGCAGGGAGGGGGAAACCGGAAGCTCTTTCATGAATTCACTCATTCACCAAGCTCTCGTTGGATTCCCAACACATGGAGGTGAATGCATGAGACATTTATAGAGAGTCACACGTGTGTGAGCATCTCCGCTCAGGAACTCGTGCTGAAGATGACAGTGGTCATGACACCAACAATGACAGGTGCAAACATGGAATTGGTCTGTGCCCCACATGGGAAAGAATTCCAGAACAAGTACAGCCACTTGAGCTGTCCTTGTAAAGAATTTGAGAGAAGAGCCCTTGGGGTGGAGAGAAGAGGCCTCAAAGCAGTGGCCCAGGAGCATGCACGCTGAAGACCGGATCCCCAGTCCTGCCAACTGCAGCTTCTTCTGGGGCACAGAAAGAGATGCTAATACGTGGCAGGACACCAAAGATCCCAGTGTTGGATGAAATAGCCTGTATCTTTCCTATCCGGTGCACCCCATCTGAATTTACCTTCATCACAGTGGAGATAAACGTGAAGGACACAGAGCTATTTAGTGTATGCTGATTTATGTTT